CCCCAAAACCCCAAAACCCCAAAACCCCATATACTCATTAAAGCCAGTATGGAGAGAAAAAAATTAATTGTAATTGATTAGATAGGACTGACTCCAGCAAAAAATAACTCATAAATGGTTTATCTTAATTCTTCATTTCAAGCAAGCTTCTTGCTTTAATGATATTGAATGATAGAATTTCTTTAATTCTAATGTTACTAAGGAATTTGTATTTAAACTAGCTTATCCTAATCCAAATACAATTATTTATCTTATTCCTCATCGTGATCGAATATAATCTTTGTAAGCTGGGAGCTCTTAGATGATGGTGTTGGGTTTTGTTATATTGCTTTGTCATATTATGACATATCTTGAGCAGTCTTATTTGATTTGCAGAGTGAGAACCATGAGGGAATTCGGCTTGAATTACTAATATCGTTTCCAAGAGTAGGCCCATTACTTCTAATTGACCTCTGTTAAGCATTTAATGATAAATTATCATGAGAGTAGTTTCGCTTATGCTTGGCAAATCTTTTGTATGTAGTCTAATTCATCATTACATTTTATGTTTAGACATAAACCATGAATGTCAGAGGAATTACAAAAATGCAGCAAATGCAAAGAATAGCCATTATAGTTACATAAAAGAAAGCTTGTCCAGTTGTTGGATTATGACGAATAAATATTGGGATAAATCCATATTTCTCTATTCTATGGAAAAAACTTTGTGTAAAGGATAAGTCCATGACTATAAATCATATTAAAAATTCATTACTTACATATAAAGCTCATCACTATCATAAGTATAATATAGATGTCTAGACTAAGAATATAAAGATAGAAGAAAGAGTGATTCCTAAAATATGAAATACTTTAATATAATTTACTTTTGTCCTATGCAATTATTTACCCACTAGCAATGATGGTCAAACTTATTGACACATTTATTGCAAATATAGCAATGCCTAGAATCAGCAAAGCATAGTACTTCACAGGATGGGCAAAGATAGTTTGGATCATAATGTTCTAAGAGTTTTTCGAAGTTCATATTATCTGGTTTCTGAACATAGCCAGGGCTTCTAAACATAGTGAGAAAGAAAAATGTCATGTTTATAATATAGAAAGCAATTATAGCAATGATCCATTCTTTTACGGGTATATCTAAAATCAGAGTTTATTCGAATAATATAACTTACAAGGAAACACATTAATGAAAAGACTAATAAATGTACTAATCATTCCAAATAGATATATTGAGACATGCTTCCAAGATCTATCAATGCGTTTCAATGGTTGTTTAAATCTGCTTAACAAAAAATTAGAGGACTTTTTAGACTAAATGAAGCATAAAAACCGATTTTTAAACTTACAAGTATACTTTTTATTTCTTCCCTGAGATTGATATTATTGATAGTATCTGCGAGGTCAGAAGAGCTCTTTTATTACTTTTCTTTTAAATCAATATCAGCTCCCTTAATAAGGAGTTCTTTGATTGATCTGGTATTTTAGAATTTTTCAGCAGATCTTACTGCCAAGTGAAGTGGAGTGTTGCCATTTAAGTCTCTTGCATTGATTTCAATATTCCATGCCAATAAATAATAAATGGCAGTGTCTGATCCTTCAAAGCTAGCCCAGTGCAAGGGAGTTGAACCTTCACCATCTCTTTCATTTACTGAGCAGCCTCTGTTCTTAAAATAAGTAAGTGAAATAGCCTAATCTCCTTATGCCGAAACATGCATTACACTTATGCCTTGTTTATTCTTAGCTGTCAGATTAGCTCCACACTTTACAAATAGTTTAATCAACTTTAAGTTTCCATGAAATGCAGCGAAATGCAAAGGATAAAATCCTTCTTCGCCTCTAGAGGGTATGTTCACCCACTCCTTAATGGCATTTCTTACTTTTTTAATTAGCTGATTACCTGTCTCATAATCTAATTAATGAGTGGTAGTCAGATTATATTTTTCAAGGAGCTTTTACTTAAGATATTAGGCTAATCTCTACTTAAAAAACTTTATTAAGAAACTGGCGATCTCATAGGTGTTACAGTAAGCTGCAGCATGCAATACTGTATATCCCTATTGATCAAAAAGGTTAACTATTTCAAGACTTCTTCTGAATTCAATTCTTTCAAGAGTATTCTATAGCTTCTTGAGATTAGAGCTTTAGATAGCTTGATATATTGCCTTTGCATCTTGTCTATCTGTGTTTGTATTACTGTTGCTGCTTTAGTATGAGCTTATGTTATCATATTGAATTTGCTATTCCTATAGTTATGATAAGGTTAAACGATATTCTTTTTTTATCCTTACAATAGTCATCTATTAGCTTGATGTGTCACTCTAGGTCTCAGTTCTTTGCCCGATTAAAGCTTCTTTTTTAATGTTCTGAATGTTTCTAGAAAATTGAATCACAAAACTTTCTGTTGAGTAATTCTCTTATATCAAGCCACTTCCATCATCCTCAACATCTTTAGCAATGTCCTCTACTGAGTCCATGCTCTCATATTAAATGTAATTTTAGTTAGTTGCTATGTAATGATAATGATATGATTGATTTACATTAATTATAGTTGTCTTCCATTAATTTATTACTTGTTATTTCTAGAGTGAGAAGGATAAATAATAAACCCTTAATATTTCTGATATATGAATCTGTTAATTACAATAATTAGTACTCATGCTGGGGTTTTGGGGTTTTGGGGTTTTGGGG